AGAAATATTAATGCCCCTGTTCAGCCTGTAAAAAACCTCCTTAGAATTAAGGGTCCCCTTGTAAAAGGAAGGGAAGAAATACATCAGAGGTGTTTGAACCAGAAGGAGCCCATCTTGAATAGAGGCTGGGTAAAATGAGGTTGAGACCTGCTGGGCTACATTCCCAGGAGGTTAGGCATTCTTAGTCACAGGATGTTTACAGTTAAGGAAACAAGTTAATAATGTTTACTGAACAGAGACAGGATTTAATAGATCCATGAAATAACAGACCCAGGAAATGTTCTGATGTCGTGATACCTTAGAAACAAAAGCATTCTTAGTTTAAGAACAACTTTCACTTTAAAGATAATATATATTCTTGCAGAAGACAGTATTTACATTAGCAGTATTTACATTAAAAAGTCTTTATCATAAGCCCTTGTAGTAGAGCACATTTCCCCCATGACTTTTCCCTTCATCTTATATATAATCAAGCATTGTACCTAAGGGACATGTTCCTCCTCTTGCTTTTGGGAATGCTCTGTGCCATTTTTGGAGTAGTCATTATTTTATTCCTTTACTTTCTTTCTTTCTTTTTTTTTTTTCTTGAGATAGAGTCTCATTCTGTTGCCCAGGCTAGGGTGCAATGGCATGATCTCAGCTCACTGCAGTCTCCACTTCCCAGGTTCAAGTGATTCTTGTGCCTCAGCCTCCCGAGTAGCTGGGTCAGATTACAGGTGTGCGTGCCACCATGCCCAGCTAATTTTTGAATTTTTAGTAAAGATGAGGTTTCACCATGTTGGCCAGGCTGGTCTTGAACTCCTAACCTCAAGTGATCTGCTCACCTTGGCCTCCCAAAGTGCTGGGATTACAGGTGTGAGCCACTGTGCTCAGCCTTCCTTTACTTTCTTAATAAACCTTTTTCCAGTTTACCTGTGGACTCACCCTGAATTCTTTCTTGCATAAGATCCCAAAACCCACTCTTGAAGTCCAGACTGGGACTCTTTCCAGTAACCGAACCAACCGCTCTCAGATATCAAGAAATGACAGAATATCCTAAAGTTTTCCACAGAACAGTAAAGAAGATCTATACTTCAACCAGGAGCAAAGCTTCTAGAAATTACACTTTTAGGCATCAGTCTGCCCATTCATTTATGGTAGCATCTCTCAATCTTTCTCCTCTCTCTCATTAATCTCCCAGATGACTCTCTCACATAGATTTCCAGCCTTTCTAGACTCTTCTATTCTGGGAATAGCTCTATACCCTTTCATATGTAAATCAACTTAGTGTTTTCACTTTCTCTAATTCTCTTCACTTAATAACCTAGCATCAACAATCCAACAACAAAGGATTCTCAAAAGGTGAAAGAGGGCAAAAGGCTGGGAATATATACACATTAATAAAATTGATTATTGTCATAGCTAAAAACAGATTTTCAAGGCACTTGTGAACATTTATCAGCTCAGTCCTGTCCTCTTTTCCTGCTCTCCTAATTCATCCCCTTTAGGGGAAAGGTGGACTTGTTATAAAGGATTTATATTTCTCTCTAAACTAAGATAAACAGGCTATACTCTAAGTACTGAAGAAATTGGGGAATTACAGATATCCTACCTAATGTTACAAATCTCATAGCATGGGCATTCCCAAATTGTTGAGAAAGACAGAACTTGCTTAAAGATGAAACAGTCAATGTGTACTTGGCCTCAACATTTTTACAAAAAATTGAGCTAAGGTATCTTTTTCTTATTTCTCTCTAAATTACAAGCCCCTTGAGGACATCATTGTGTTTATATTAGGGCTTAGTGGTATTTTAGTTATAGTAAGTGCTCAATTAATATTATTTCAAGAAATGTGTCTAGTGATCCAAAAATAAGAAACAGATAAACCATTTAAAAATAAATTTATAATTTTGTTTTCCTTCCTTCCAAAATGCAAATTTCCAACATCCTAAAATGTTGTTTATCTGAAGAGCCTTTTCCAACTCTATTAAATCCATAGAAGCATTAGGCATTCTTATTATTGAACCAAGAATTCATTCATAACCCTGTAATGACTATTCTGATATCTTGAGGGAAAATACTGCTAAAAATAGACATTCACCATTTTCGTTTTATTGTGAGGAAGAAGTATGTACTTTAACATCCATCATCTTAGGAATATTAATAGTTTTACTCCTGGCTTTTTGTTCTCAGTTCTAACATGATTTTGAAAGATAAAATATTTGGGTACTAATTTAATATTAGTAATATATGCATAAGACAGGTTTCTGACCATATTATGTTGTCCAAGTATCCTTATTATACTTTAATGTAGAAAAAGCAAACAGCTTGTATGGATGTTTGCTTTGTAAGCAAACACTCAAAGATTGCATTCAGTCACTGGTTATATCTCTTCTCACCTGGGAGCCTCTATTGAGCAATAAATTGCAAAACTTGGTATATCATTTGAAAAAAATACTCATAGACTTAAAAGTTTAAAACAAGATGAACCTTTATAGGAACTTCAGTAAGGAAGGAAGGAGTAGCCAGGGATTAGGTACCCCCACATTCCAGTTCCTTAGCAAATCAGAAGTACAGACTTTCTTTTATACCTGCATATATCAATGTCCTCATTTTACTTTTCCTGAAAGCAGAGCCAGGAATGGAGCTCTCTGTGTATGGCTCCCACTTTTCAAAGCCCCCATTCACCTGGGCACATTTGGGGTTTTAGGTACATACTTGAATCCTATCCCACCTTTTTTCCCCTCAGTGATTCTTCATAGTTTCTGGGTTACAATGGGCTCACTTTCCTGTTTTCCAGCATGTTTATAGATTTATTTATATATTTATAATTATTTTTACATTTTCTAGAAGCTGGGCATAAGACAAAAAAGCTTGCTTTATGGGATTAATCTACTATCATAAATTGAAATCTTGAATTTTCACTAACCCTGTGATGATGGACTAGACAGGTACTAAAATCTCTATTTTGAGTTTATTATAATCTCTGCTAATGAACCTGTGACAACATTTTGGTTCAAGATGGCTGACCAGAGATATCAGATACCTGCCCTCCATAGAAAGATGAACTAGTGACAGAGTGAATCCTAGGCATAGAAACTTGTCTGGAACTTGCTCTTCTATATTCAAATATAAGTGCTAATTGTCCGCCAACATATATTTTCTCTCTCTTCCTGCTAACAGATTTCCCGAATTTTAGATGGCCACCCAGCTTGAGTCTACATATCCTAGCCTCTCTTGCAACTAGATGTGGCCATGTGTGTAAATTCTAGTCAAAGAGATATAATGGAAAAAATGGCATGCTGTTAAATGTTTAACAGCTAGCTTTCAGTTGGGGAAGTGGGAGCTAATCTGTAGCAAGTGTTGATCTCTGTGGTGTAAATACTCCCATCACATGTAATTTCAAACTATGATGTCACTCGATGCAAAGTTGGGAAGAGATTTCCACACCATTAGATAATACTCCCATCATACAGACAACATAGATGCAAATAACCTCAATAGCATAGTTACAAGCATACCTCAGAAATATTGCATGCTCAATTCCAGACCACTGCAACAAAATGGTTATCACATAAAAATGGTTATCTGCCCACTAAAACTTTATCCATATCAGTAATAAGGCTGTTTTGCCTTCCTATCATACAAATATATTTGTTTCCCAGTTCACATAAAAGTTATGTTACACTATATCACAGTGTAGTGAGTGTTCAATAGTGTCATGTCTTTAAAAAACAATGCATGTACTGTAATTTAAAATACTTTATTGCTAAAAATGCTTACAATCATCTGAGCCTTCAGCAGGCCATAATCCTTTTGCTGGTAGAGACTTTTGCCTCAATGTGGGTAGCTACTGATGATAGGGGTGGTGGTCGCTGAAGGCTGGAGTGGTTGCGGCAATTTCTTTAAATAAGGCAACAATAGAGCTTGTTGCTTTGACTGACTTCCTTTCAAGAAAGATTTCTCTGTAGTATGTGATGCTGTTTGATAACATTTTACTCGCAGCAGAACTTCTTTCAAAATTGGACTCAATCGTCTCAAACTCTGCTACTTTTCTGTCAACTAAGTTTATGTAATGTTTTAAATACTTTGTTATTATTTCAACAATGCTTACAGGATCTTCACCAGGACTAGATTTCATCTCAAAAAAAAAGAAGTAACTGGTGATCTGCTAAAATTTTATCATGAGATTGCAGCAATTCAGTAACATTCTCAGGTTTCACTTGCAAGTCTAGTTCTCTTGCTATTTCCACCACACCTGAAGTTGCTTCCTCAATTGAAGTCATGAACTCATCAAAGTCATTCATGAGTGTTGGAATCAACTTCTCTCAAACTTCTGTCAATGTTTATGTTTCGACCTCTTCCAATAAAATATGAATGTTCTTAATAGCATCTAAAATAGCAAAACCTTTCTAGAAAGTTTTTTATTTACTTTGCCCAGATCAATCAGAGGAGTCACTATGTATGACAGCTATAGCCTTATGAAATACATATTTTTAAAATAATAATAATGGAAAGTCGATTCATGGGCTGCAGAATGGATGTTGTGTTAACAGGTGTGAAAACAACATTAATCTTCTTGTACATCACTATCAGAGCTCTTCGGTGACAAGATGCATTCTCTATGAGCAGCAAGCAGTAGTATTTTGAAAGGTATATATTTTTTTCCTAAGCAGGAGGTTTCAATAGTTGACTTAAAATAATTAGCAAACTAATAATTAGTAAACTAATATTAGTAAATATTCATCAAATAACTAAACAGATGTGCTGTCATCCAGACTTTGTTGTTTCATTTGTAAAGCACAGGTAGAGTCAATTTTCCATAATTCTTATGGGCCCTGGGATTTTTGGAATGGTAAATGGACTTTGGCTTCAATTTAAAGTCAGCAGCTGCATTAGGCGCTAACAAGACAGTCTGTTCTTTGAAGCTTTGAAGCCAGGAATTTATTTCTCCTCTCTAGCTATGAAAGTCCTAGATGATGTTTCTTCAATAGAATGCTGTTTTACCTACATTGAAAATCTACTGTTTAGTGCAGTGACTTTTATTAATGATCTTAGCTGGATCTTCCGGATAACTAGCTGTGGCTTCTACATCATCACTTGCTGCTTCACCTTGACCTTTTAAGTTATGGAGACAGCTTCTTTCCTTTAAACCTCATGAGCCAACCAACTTCAAACTTTTCTTCTGCAGCTTCCTTTCCTCTCTCAGCGTTCATAGAATTTGAGTTAAAATCTTATCCTGAATTAGGCTTCGACTTAAGGGAATGCTGTGGCTGATTTGGTTTTCTGTCCACTAAAGCTTTCTCCATATCAGTAATAAGGCTGTTTTGCCTTCCTGTCATTTGCATGTTCACAGGAGGAGCACATTTTCTTTCTTTCAAGAATTTTTCTTTTGCATTCACAACTTGACTAACAGGCACAAAAGGCGTCACTTTTGGCCTATCTCAGTTTTTGACATGACTTCCTCACTAAGTTTAATCATTTTTAGCTTTTGATTTAAAGTGAGGGATGTGTGACGCTTCCTTTCATTTGAAAATTTAGATGCCATTTTAGGGTTATTAATTGGCCTAATTTCAATATTGCTGGGTCTCAGGGAGTAGGGACGCCCCAAGGACCGGGATAGAGACAGGGGAATGGCCAGTTGTTGGAGCAGTCAGAACACACACACACATTTATTATGTTTGCTATTTTATATGAGCGTGGTTCATGGCACCTCTAAACAATTGCAATAGTAACATCAAAGATCACTGATTACAGATCACCATAATGAATATAATAATAATGAAAAGTTTGAAATACAATGAGAATTGCCAAAGTGTGACACAGAGACATAAAGTGAGCACAAGCTATTGGAAAAATGGTGCTAGTAGACTTGGTCAACACAGGATTGTCACAAACCTTCGATTTGTGAAAAACATAGCTGCAAAGTTCAAAAAACCAAAGCACAAGTCTTCCTGGTAATAGTAAAACGTAGTAAAATAATTTTAAAACAATGAGTTTTGAATATTTACCTTATTTTTAATACAATTTGTTTAATGATAAGTTATATACAATTTAATTTTTAGTAATGACTGTGTTTAACAACTGCTTCACAAAATTGAAACGTTTTAACAAATGCTTCTTGTGAACTGGTACAAGCTGGTGCAAGTCAATTCTGGTATACCTGTGAATGAAATCTGTGTCTTACCCCTCCAGTGGCATATTAGATGCTGTGTTTTGAGGTTGAAAACTTAACTGCTTTCCTGTTTTGATTGTATTCTGGAGGAAAGTGGTATTCATGGATACTTGAGTGTTCAGAAGGTGGACTGTGGTACAGACTGCTAATTGTCCCTAATATTCACTTTTTCTTTCTTTTCTTTTATTCTCCTTTCCTTTCTTCTCCTTCCTTCCTTCCTTCTTTCCTTCCTTCCTTCCTTCCTTCCTTCCTTCCTTCCTTCCTTTTTTTTTTTTTTAGTACGGGAAATCTCCATTTTAAAACTGGGTAGCTAGGCACACAGCTAAAGGCCACTTTTTCTAGACCCCTTGCAGTTAGATGCAGCAACCACATTCTGATCAAAGCAATGTGAGCAGAAGTGTTCTGTGCAACTCTTGGGTCACACACTTAAAAGGAAGATGACTGACCTCTACTTATTTTTCTCCTTTTTTCTACATGGGTTAAAACAGATAAGATGACCCTGAGTCACATTAGACTTTGAGGATAAGAAAAACATCCTAGAGGTTGGCAGAGCAACAAGAAGAATGAAATGCAAATCTCCTAATGACTTTATGGAGCAGAGCTTCTTTATCCTTTTGGCCTACTTAGCAGCTTAGACATTCATATAAAAGAGAAACAAATCAGGTGCTGTGGCTCAGGCCTGTAATCTCAGCACTTTGGGAGGCTGAGGTGGGCAGATCACAAGGTCAAGAGATTGAGACCATCCTGGCTAAAATGGTGAAACCCTGTCTCTGCCAAAAATATAAAAAATTAGCTAGATATTATAGCACGTGCCTGTAGTCCCAGCACTCGGGAGGCTGAGGCAGGAAAATAGCTTGAACCTGGGAGGTAGAGGTTGCTGTCAGCCGAGATTGTGCCACTGCACTCCAGCCTGGGTGACAGAATGAGACTTATCTCAAAAAAAAAAAAAAAAAAAAAAAAAGAGAGAGAGAGAGAAACAAATCTTCCTTCTCATTAAAGCCATTGTTATTTATTCCCTGCGAAAACAGCTAAAGCAATATACAGAAGTTGATAACAGTAATTCCAGTTGTCTGAAGTAAGATACTATCTAATGCTTTTGCTAAGAACCCTCCTTTTATTTCAGAAATCATTGATTATAAGTAATCAACTTATTGAAACATTTTATGGACCAATGCAATGTTTTTTATTGAAAGACATGGCCCCCATGCAATCTAATATTTCTTCCTAAAACATGTTTTCATTGTTTGATGGGAATAATTATGATAAAATTACTATTTGACATGTTATTCAAAGTTTTCAGACAGCATTATATCTCTGCATTTCATTTTGGGAAGCTTCAATATCTCCCAACTCACTGATTGTTTTCTCGGTCATGTCCAGTATACTGATGAGATCATCAAAGGCATTTTTAAAATTTCTATTACAGTGGTTTTGATTTCTAGCATTTTAAAATTCTTTCTAAGAGTTCCCACCTCTCTACTTAAATTATCCAACTGTTTTGAATGTTGTCTGTTTTTATCTAGTAGCATCTGTGACATATTAATTATAGTTATTTTAAATCTACTGTCTGATAATTCTAATATCTTTGTCAGAACCAGATCTGGATCTGATGTTTCTTTTGTTTCTCCATTCTGTGATTTTTATTGCCTTTTAGAATGCCTTGAAGTTTTTGTTAAAAGCCAGACATAATGTATCAGAAAATATAAATTACGACAAATGGGCCTTTAATGTAAATCTTCATGTTAACCTGGCTAGAAGTTGGGCTGTGTTTAATGTTTTCTGTAGCTGCAGGTGTCTGAGGCTTCAAATTCCTCTAGTGTTTTTGTTTTTGCCTCCCCTGGTGACTCTGGACTTCTCTAATGCTCCTCAAAGAGTCTGCATCTTGCTGCTATTTCAGCTAAAATCCCCTACTTGTGGGGTGGTAAGGCACTGGGGAGGGAAAGCAGTCTGCAAACTTATGATAAAATCTTAATCTTTTAATAGGCCTGTATCTTTGGGCTGTGACCATCACCAGTGTTTCCTGGCTTTATTTTTCTCCTCTTGTGAGAGAGAAATGCTGGAAGGGAATAGAGTAGAAAAAATGCCCGTCCTTAACTTGGAATAAGATCCTGATTAAAAGTCTCTTGCCCTTGGAAATTAGGCCTTTGTCATATAGAATACTCTGGGCATATTTCAAGATGGTTGCCCTTCCTTTTACCCTGCCAGAGCCATCGGGAGATCTTGCTTAATATTTTGCCATAAGTATGTGGTGGGGATCCTGGAGGTAAATTCCAAGAAAGTATGGATTCCCCTCTATAAGATAGCATTCCAGAAGTTTCTTCCTCTCATTTTAGTTCACACTCTATCTCTAGCAATTTCACATTATTGCCTTTTAAGTATTCCTACCAGTTTATGGCTCTAGCTGCTTCTGCTCCTGGTTAACAGACCTCATCTGTGACTCCTTTAATTCACCTATCTCACCAGATTTAATGGTAATGGTTTGCCCTATACCTCAGTTCTCTGATGGGTCCAAGAAAGAATCATTGATTTTTTAGCTCACCTTTTCCTGTCATAAGGATAGGAGTGACAACTTTCTAAACTCTTTACATGTTAGAGCTGAAATAAGAAGTCCAACAGCATGCTATTTTAATTTGTAATATTATTTTTGTATACCATATTGAATTTGAATGGAAATTGTAAATGGATTTTTTAATTTGAAACTTTCAGCTGGGTGTGGTGGCTCATGCCTGTAATCCCAGCACACTGGGAGGCCGAGGCAGGTGGATCACCTGAGGTCAGGAGTCTGAGACCAGCCTTGCCAACATGACGAAATCCCATCTCTACTAAAAATACAAAAATAAGTGAAGCATGGTGGTGAGAACCTGTAATCCCAACTACTCAGGAGGCTGAGACAGGGGAATCACTTTAACCTGGGAGGCGGAGGTTGCAGTAATCCAAGATCACACCATTGCACAACAGTCTGGGTGACAAGAGTGAAACTCCATCAAGAGAGAAAGAAAGGAAGAAGGAAAGAAGGAAAGAAAGAAAAAGAAAGAAAGAAAGAAGGAAGGAAAGAAAGAGAGAGAGAAAGAGCGAAAGGAAGGAAGGGAGGGAGGGAGGAAGGAAGGAAGGAAGGAAGGAAGGAAGGAAGGAAGGAAGGAAGGAAGGGAGAGAAAAAAGAAACTTAGATCTGGTGAAAAAGATCATTTACTCCAGTAGTAGGAACTTTGGATTCCCTGGCAAGCTGTTCCTATAAATTATAAATATTAGGATGGAAGGCAAAATCTACCATCTCAGATCATGATACATAGATGGGAACCTTCAGATCATGCTACATAGATGGGAATCTTATGGGCTGGCTCTGCTAAAAACACCAAACAGGTTCCTGGCTTATATAAGAGGACATTCAGCGAATTTGAATTTTACCTTAAGCTAAGTGAATAAATTTCTAGTGATACGAGGATGGACTCATGGTTTCCTAAAAATTTGAGTCTATTAGGATGGGGAAAGGGACAGGAAACTGAATGGGTGTCCAGAGTTTAGAGCCAAGGAAGAAAATATTCTATAGAAACCACCCAAACACCAAGAAGCTCTGACTTGCGAAGACTTCCATGCAATGGGTGGCCACAGGGTAATATTATGGTTCCCAGAATAGTCTCAGACAACAGAAATGTAGACAAAGGTTATGAACTCAGCAATGTGATCCTGAATTGGGAAAAATATCACTCCAAAATATTGCAGTTCTCTTGGAATAAGTAGCCTGTGTTACCTGAATTCACTGTTGACTTGTATGACTTCACTTGTACAGAACCCATTCGTTCAATAGTCTCTTCACAGCCATATGCCATGAGCACTGTTGGTTTCCCTTTCCCTGTCTCACAAATGATCCAAATCTACTTCCACCTACCTGCTCCCTTTTGTACTCTGAAAGTGGGATATTTCCTTTAAAGAGAACCTGTCAGTGCTAATTACGGAGGAACATCTATGTGGCAACGTGTAGGTTTAAAAGACAAGAAAGTCCCCCATAGAGGCTCTGTGAAACACTGGATACACTGACAACTTAATAAAAAGCTTGATTCAGTGACATTTTTAACACACTGGCATGGAAAGTATCATTAGAAATAAAGTGACTTTCAAGGGAAAAATGTTTTATGGAACTGTGTGAAGAGCTATGATTGATCTTAAATCTCCTCTGTTTCATGGTCCCTGAAGTGGTGCATCAAAGAATAACTGGTAAGGGAGTTGTATTTCTCCTCAGGTCCCACACCTAGTAACAGCTTCTTTGTGGCATTGGGGAGCGTCATTTTTTGAGAAACTCATTCATCCAGAAAAAACAGACTGAGTGTTCTGCTTCCTTTCTCTTCCAAACCCACATTCATATAGAACTAATTTGGAGGGTGGATAAGAGGAAAGGCAAAAAGAGGCAGGGAGAGGATGCACCATGTGGACATAGTTGGATGTGTATGTGCTCTGGATTGGGGCAAACACAGTAAGTGGAACATTTGGTATGCACAGCTTGGAGAACACCAGGCTTGATGTTTATCTGAGACATGTGAAGGATGATTGGATTTACAAAAAGTTTTTTTTTTTTTCCTCTCTTTCTTTTATCGTTCTCATGGAAGTAGTAGGAAGCTACCACTGTGTGTTTGAGCTTCACCAGTGTTCTAAACAGTTGCCTAACAAATCAGGCACATGGTATCCAAGCAATGCAATGATGAGTTGATACTTTATTAAATGGCTTGGGAGATGATGAAAAAAATATTTTTAAATAAGTGTCAGGAGCTTAATATGCCTACTTAGCAATTCAACCTGAAAAAGAAAAAAAATCTATACGAAATTCTAAGTGAGGTATGTCCATCCATATTTATGAATATTATCCAATTACAATTTAAATGATCCAATGTGACTAATCTAAAAGAAGTCACTTAGTCAAGCTGTAAGTATTTATGCTTATTTTCATGAAGTACATATACTAGTCAGACTTTTTATGGCCATGAATTTCAATAATGACTTAAGAAAATACGCAATGTGTAGATTCCTTCCATGAAGAGGAATCTAACCACCTTGTGAATCTAACCACCTTATGAATTGCTTTTCCTAAAATACGAAAGAAGTAATGTTCCAATTCTGAGCCTAGGTGGGAAGAAATCTTGCACACTTCTG